CGTTGCTACCCAATTCAAATCCTGTGGGAAAAAGAACTTTTGTTTCTAAGAATTCAACAGTGAAATGAAAATACAACGAACAATGAAACTTACTCCCGGGTGGTTTGAATTGGGTTGAAGCCGATTAGGTCTATTAACTATCGTAAGACAGCTAACGAACTATCAGTATATATTTTGATGCTTCATAACAGGGATTAACTGGCCACTAAGATGTTTAGGGAGCGAGCAAACTCATTTTTTAGTTCTCCATGCATTTCTTTGTATTTTTCACTCTCGTCACGCTCTCCATGACCCTGGAAAACACAATGAAATTTGACGTCAATTTTTTGTATAATTGTTACATTGCCTACTCGTCAAAATGACTGCTATAACCGTCACTTCAACAATTGAGATATCCATCTAATCTTGTCATTGTGATAAACTCTGTCTTGTTTGCAGAACGCCCAGCATTCGTATCACACGTCGTCCGAAGACGCCGGCCGCCGACAACATTTCTGAAAGCACTGGTGATTTAGCGTTACCTTCAAACCCAGTACAAAACAGCACCTCACAACTCAACGCTGACCAATCAACAGAACTTCAGAAATTCGAAACTCCCCACTTTCCTGAAATACCTCCAGAGGATTCTGCAATAACTGAGACTACTACAGATTTGACAGATGCCGAGCCAACGCCGACTAACGTGTCTAACAGCATTGTCGCTGAACGTCCGAAACCCCTTCGAACCTCCCATGAGTCCACCAAGCAGGCCGAAGTGGAATATTACGGTTTCAAAATGTTCATCTTTGTATTGTTTATTTTAGCTCTTATCATGATTCCCATTGCCATTGTCTGGGAAACGAGGAAGACATACTTTAGGTCCACGATTGCCTTCAAGTCATTCTCTAGGTGGGTTTACAGATCTTTTGGGATCCGTCTATAAAGTGACTCTAAGTCTAGCTTAATTTTAGTGACGTTATTTGTCGTTAAGCTTTGGTACAAAGCTTTTAACTTTTAAGAATTCATCCAAGAAACAATACATTTTAGCCGACCTGCAAGCAGAAAAAGTAAAAAGGAGAGTAGACTATTTCTGCTCGCTGTTTCTATACTAGTAGACTGTCTTGCTGCTCGCAAGGTATCTAAGCGGCTTTAATTTCTATAATTGCCATCCATATGACGCATGGCCATGTCTTCCTCTATCCGTTCACAATTTAATATTTGTCAAAGCATTATACTACCTCAATTTAAGGACATTCCGTACTTTTTCCTGCGCACAATGAGCTATGCACGATTCGTAGAAGACCGATTTACGCGACACGATTTTGACCTTCGACTGTAGCATACGATTTGACGATGTCATATCGTAAATACTATTCACACGTGCAAGACTGTCGTATACGATTCGCACATGCTATTGCTAGAATCTCAATTTGATTGGACTGTAGTTGCAGTCCTTAGTTCAAAACTGTCGTAACTCGTGTGCGCCAGTCTCAGACTGCTGTAGAAAATCTACAGCATTTACAAGGCGAGGCTTGGAGCTCTTTTGAGTCGCGTTAATACAAGTACGTACACGGCAATGTTAGACTATTGCCCATCGTAACCAATCGTATGAAGTTTTAAAAATGAATTCAGTTGCCAATTCAGATATATTCTAGATATGAACGTTTTTTTCTATTTTTTATATAAAATAAAAAAAAATAGTTGTGATTTGACAGAATTGGTGATTGAAATTTGTTTGTAAACTAATCGAAGACATTTATTATTTCATGTGAAGTTGCTCAGTACGGGATGTCCTTAAATGATTACTTCAGAAACTACATAAACGTGAGTTAAACGTTGTGTACTTATTATGAGTTGAAGTTTCTTTTAAAACACAGCCGTGAAAATGTATGTAACGATTTTATCAAATAACATGTCGAAATGCAATGTGGGAAGTGTTACCGATTGTAAAACGTCGAATAGTCATGAGGCTCGGCTCATGAGGCTRCTGCATTGAAGACCACCGGCTGAAAACAGCTAAATGCACTTTTAAATGTAATTTAGACAAAAGACGGGCACTTTATTATAGGATGAATAGAATTACATGAGGTCATTTCTGGAAGGAACTCCTTTTATAATCCGTAGACGTTCATAGATGCTAGGCGTACGCATGCGKGATTTTCCACACCAATATGTGGAGTATAGTCCTCTTCTCGAAAATCTGTTGTGTTAAAGGGACACTGTCAATGGCACGCATGCGCGAGTAAACTTGAAAACATTAGGTTAATGTTTTCAAGTTTATGACTCCAAGTTGGCGCGACATAACTATCTGCTCGTAAACGTAAACAGATCTAGAATATTCCAAAGTGTGTCAAAAGCACCACAAAATGATTTACCTCGAAGGTAATACTTTCAAAGTCCGTTAGAGGCGAGACTGTTACTGCGCATGTCATCCATTGACAGTGTCCCTTTAAAAAGCATAGTTTTCGTGGTTTACCTGGAAACCCTTCCAGAATTCGATGGCTTCTGTGCTGCTAGACATATTTCGGTGAATATATAGTGACTTAAGACGTTTTTACAATATTTACTTGGAAGTAATAATTATATTTATATCAATTTAGTAACTACTTTGTGAATTAAGTATAGTTGCACGGGATCGATTATTCTTGAAAGACTCCATATATTGTAAGGGATCAACCAGATTCGTTGTTAGTGGTTGAACATTGTCCTTAACTTTGATTTAAYAAATAAACCAGTCTACCCTAGCCTATAGTAATTTGACGGAGTTTGGGGAAAATGGATGTTAAAAAATCAAACGTGCCGACGAATCAGGGGCGGATTTAGGGGGGCGAAGGGACCATATGAGAAAGGGCGTGACTATCGTTATGAGTTGTATTCATATAGCATTGCTGCCCGTTGAAAGAACATATTAAAATAAGTGAGATCTACTAAAAGTTTCAATGCTCTACAGTTAAGGACCAGAAATTACAGGTGTTTGAAATTGCAAAGGTTTGAGCGAGAATCGGTTTTGAGGCCTTTAAAATCCTCGTTTTCACGTTATTCGCACATTTCAAACGCTCGTAGCTCTTCCAATATTCAACATTTGTAAAATGATTCAAGTCCAAAAATTCACTAGCCGTTTAGATAGATACTGTTACAGATTTCTAACTTGAAGATTGCAAAACAATCGAAAAGTTTTTAGAGGACGAATCTGTCACGCACTAAGTCAGTCACTCACTCACTTTACTGTAAACTTAAACCAGTGTTATTGTCATGTGTTCAGAATTATTAATTTATTCTAATTGTTTTCTACTAATTTTTTCAATACAATAGTTTTCCATTTAGAGTAGAGTGCTCGCACTAAATGCGTGAAATATAAATACTACAAAATAGGTGATAAACTATACAAATTTCTTTGTTTCCTATTGTATGATCAGCACTATTTAGTAGTAATTAGTACTATTTGTTTCACGCTTTAAGTGCGAACACTCTACAAACATTAAATGTGTGCAATACTTCCCACTATTTACTACAAAATAGTGTTAATTAAACAATAGAATTAGCCAAATTTAGCAGTATTTAGTGGTATTTATGTTGCACAATTTTAGTGTTTGTACTCTACCGCGTTCCCTGTGCTAAATTTGATTGAATGTATTTTTTTTGACAAAGAATTAGAAAAAAAATATCAACCCATCTGGGTTTCAAACCTGGGACCGTAGCGTCGAAAATTCAAGTCACAACCAATCGGATACGCATGCTAATGTTACGCAATAGCGACTAGACTTCTCTTTTAACTGGCAGAAGCTCGCAGTGGCTTGTCGATCTAGAATCGAACTTAAATTACTAAGATTTTAACGATTAAAAAAATGTATTCATAAATCGTTTACTTAAAATTCTATTTGTAAAGTAATTATATATAATTATCATCCGAAGAAATCTTTAATAGACTACAACAGTCTAAAAGATCCTGTCATTCATCAGAAGTTAATCGAGAAATTGGTTAAACGTGACAGAGCTACCCCTGCAACATCCAAACATTAACACCCAAGTAGCAACAATCGCTGACGAGCTAACTGACGCAGCCGATAAAATTCTGTCAAAAAGACGAGGAACCACGAACCTCTACCATGGCGAGACGACGATGAGTTGAACAGAATTATCCTAATGATAAGATGCATTACCGATAATTAAAAAAAAGCTTATTAAAAACAAGCTATCCAGCTAAGGAAAGRTTTCTACCAAGCAAAAGCCAGGAACATTAATGAAGCAGCAGCATCACGAGATCTGGAAAAATTTCTTTTACATCATGGTGCACTCAACAATAAAGGATCCCCTACCATGAGTATGTAATACACTCAAGGATCACTTCAATCATCATTTCAACAAAGCAATTCCATCAGAAATTCCTCATGAGTTAGTCAATACACCTGATCAACTTCACTACTACATATTCCAACTGATTTCATCAAAGGTGATCCACCTGACGAAASTGAKGTCATATCTGCCATGAAACAACTTAAAATTCGTAAATCAACAACTGATATACCTGCAGAACCTCTTAAATCCCTGACATCAGATACAGTCAGTATTCAAGCTATTATTACTCTTTAGACTTTATGCAGATATCTGGCAGAAAAAAGATATACCATCTACTTGGAAATRCTCTAGGCTTAAGACTCTCTATAAGAACAAAGGTAAAATGAATCACCCTAATACTTACCCTGGTCTGTCAATCAGCTCGACACAATAAGCTGCAGTACATGACAGTAAAAACCCGCGTACAAGAACAAGTGGATTAAGAACACCCAGGTCTGATTTTAGGAAATAAAGTACCATTTACACCTAATTGAAGAAACGTTGTCGGGTCCAAAAAGGTCTAATCATAGAAGCTAAGACCGAAAAGGTATTTGGGAAGACAAACAATTTGGCTAAGTTCATACAAACAGCTCTCCAGCATAAAAGACTATCATGCTGTCCTAACTCGAATCCTAACTCTGCTGCTAGTTTGTCTCCTCTAGTTGCTTTACCGTGCACCATGTTAAACACAGTATATGCAAATGTAATCCCAATTTAGTGGTACTCAAAATCCCTTTCGGATTTAGCTTCTATGATGTGACCTTTTCGAACACGACTACGTTTTTTCAATTAGGTGTATATAAAGAACATATTAAGCCTGAAAAATGAAAGTTGTTCTTGTATGTGAACATATTAAAGATCAACACTACGATCAATGCACACACTGATTTTTCAATTTTTTTTTTTAAGTAAATAGTTACATCATTGTATTGATTAATTAAAATTGTGCCCATGTATTGATTTCACCTATTGGCAGCCACGTATGTTCATTATTTTAAGAAACTTTTTTTAGAACACTTTTAAGTGTTCTTAAAAGAACACTTAGAGGCTGATTTTGCAGATTATAACCCTTTATATAAGTTTTGATGTCAGGTGAAGAAAACGATGAAGCTTTTAGAATAACAAGCGGCGTACGACAGRGGGGCTGTGAAAGCCCATATTGGTTATATCTTGATTATATACTACGAATCTTTGAGCACGAATGACAACACGAAAACTTACATACYACAATTCTTTACAGGCAAATACATGTTCCGTGTGACACAGGAACTAGTTTGTATAACCCAAAAATGATTAATTATTTTTGAAGACTGTGATTATTTGGCAGGCGAACACTTGTTGACTAAAAAAGTGTGGCTTCAGCTTGGTTTTTGCGTAATCAACTCATAAATATTGAAATAATTTAGATAAGGACCTAAAGGAATCAAGCAACTCTCAAACTTTTAAATATCCTCTCTTCAGTAATGTTGCTACTCGAAGGCAATTTTGAATTAGATCTTAGATTCCGTACATATTCCATTTAACTGT